TTTTATTTTCACATGCAGATGTTAGGTTCCATCCTCTTCATGTTGCAAGGAAAAATGGCTAATATTGGGAAGTATGAATAGTAAAAGAGTTAAGAGGAAGCACTTTTTACAAAACATAAGAGTCCTTAGCCTATGTAGATCCCAGTTCATCTGCTCCTATATCCATGCATGACATAGAATCTTTGCCCATTTAACCTTTTGCTCTGTCCTGGAAATTAAAGTCATAAGGTGATTCAAATTCTTTAAGATAAAAAGAGCTCTTACATGTGAGAGAATAATCTGAAAATGCTCACTCAGCTTATCAGACTGTCTTAATTGCATTAGTATGCAGAAAGGAAAGAATGTAAGAAAACATATTTCAGATTAGAATGTACAAGATAACCTACTCTAATGAAACTATATAAAGCATCAAAAAAGCCCCTAGTGCTTTCCCCTTACACTAAGTATAGTGTAAGAATGAATATGATGCATTACTTACGAAGAATGAAATATAGTCAGTAGATCTCTCTATAACATACTGTGAATCACAAAAGACTAAAAAGGAAAAGCAAAAGCATAAATACACTTTATGTCATAGCACTTTAACATTTATTTTCAGAGTTATTTGTACATGTGGAGTATTTTTCAAGCAGCAACTATGCAGCTTTTTGCAAAAAGGTAAACAATATCTTACACTTCATATGTTATCTACAGACTTTCCACAGTAAACTCAGTTATTGCCTTTAGACATAAACCACCTCAGAAAACAAGAAAAAGAAATTTGCGGAACAGAAGGGAAATTAATTATGCCATTCAGAAACATAATATATAGCTTAAATCCTTGCCTGCTCTTGAGCAATAATGAAGAATTACATCAGACAGTCTATAAGGCGCTGATTTTTTTCTATAACATTTTCTAATGACCATAAATGATCAGGTTTCTCTTAGATCCCATTATGAAGTCAAACTTCATGGCAAATGCACTGTCTTTATACATAGATATTCTTAAGATTTTTTTTTTTTCCCATTAGAAATAGCATCACATCAGGAAACAAATAATATAATATTTTTCACCTCTTGATTGCAGTGCTGCTACTAATTTTTGTTTCATTGAGATGTCCATCATTACTTCAATTTTTTTAAAACAAAATGTTTTTCACATGGTTCTCATCAAATGTTACTTTGAAGGAAAATCTCACCAGTAAGTTAGTAAATCTTTGTTGTCCTTATCCAAGCTAACACTTAACTCTGTTTCAATCTTCTAGGTACTGTATAGTAGGTAAGGTTGGTCCACCATCTCTTTAGCAGGGGCTCACATAGCTTTTTACTGGATATAAAAATTGGGAAATTCACCTTTGACAAGAGTTTCATATCAACCTTCCTAAAGTAAACATAAATTACACTAGCATCGTTCTAGTTTGCTTTCTGTGCTTCAAGTTAAGCTTTCAGTTGAATGCTGTTAGAGCTTGTACTCTGCTGCCAAAGCGAAGACCCTCCAAGATACAGTTAATGGTTGTGCAAGTCTTGGAGTTCCTCAGAAGTATATAAAGGTGAAAGATGAGTATGGCTTCATATAAAGGCTCATCTAGAAGCTTGGAGAAAACACATGACTTTAACAGTACTTACACATAGCTGGAAAAGGTACATTCACCATAAGAAAAGTTTCTAGTGATGCTCTGGATGCAGTTTGCATGCATGCATCAGTTAGTTAATGAAGTAAGCAAATGTCTGTTCTGCTGAGCTACAGTAAAATTGAAAGTTTTTACTTTTCCTTTTTTTGTCAAATGGAGACAAACTTAAAGACATACAAATAGGCTCAATTTTTAGGAAGCTCTGCTTATGTAAATTCTGTTTCCACTACCTCTGCTTGTATTCAGCCCTATAGAAATAAATATTTTTTTTCATGTTCTTTGAGGATAAGCTGTGTGCCTTGCCCTAGAAAACATTCTGACCATTTTCTTTATTAAATGTCCACCACATTCTGTTGAAAGTACTTAGGGCCTTTCTTAGGCTCTGATCTGCCAACAACAAAAAGCTTTTAACAAGTTAAAATTCAAGATTGGAAATGCTGTGAAGTATGCTAACTGGACAATATAATAAACAGTAAAATTCTGTCATTAAAAGCAAATAAGTCAAAATTAGAAGAGAAAAAAATCTCCTCGTAGCAGATCCATATAACCTTTATAAACCACTTAGAAAACAAGTAGCTAATAGATTGCAGTCTGAAATATCAAGTGATTTTACAGAGACAATTAATTTACAACATGCAAGAAAAACATGTGATTTACCTTGAAAAGCATGCATTGGTGATTTGCTTTTCTCCTAAAACATATTCCTTTCACTCTTGCAATGCAACAGTTTCAACCCAGGGAAAATGAAACTATTTGTTACACCTTATCTATACACAAAGTATAAGAAAATCAAAGACACTTGCAACTAGCCCAGATTCATTTTCCTCCACCCTTTTCCTGCTTTACTACGCATACTATTTGCCCTTTTTCATTGTTACCTGTAAATTTGCATATCAATATAAATACACATGCAATTATTTCTCCTGTCTCATTTCAAATAATCTATCATTATTCTTAATAATAGCAAACGCCTAACTGAACATGCATAACTACTTTCCCATTCCATGGTATCTAATTTAGAGGCCACATTCTTCCATTATCTTTAATTAAGTGAGAGAATCATGGCAGAAGGCCTGCACTGAAGTGTGAGGAATTACAATTGGAAGGAACTTCTCACTGCTAACGACGTAGGCAATTTCCCAGTTTCTGGACCTATATGCTGTTTTCAAGTAAAAGCTGTGCGTGAAACTAAAAAGGCCCTGCATATTTCAGTCTCTGCTGTGAGAACACACAACCTGATATGAATGGGTTTTCCAAGGAAATTCCAAATACAAAATAAAGGAGGACCATCTAGGCTTTTTTGTTCATATGTTTTTCTCCCAGATTAGCTTATGACTGAGGAACATATTACAAGTACTAGCTGAATGCAGAGAACTGCTGTTTTCTGTTTATATTGATCCCATTTTCATTCATGTTAACATTGCTTCTCTGGACATAAGGGATGCTGAGTCAAGATTCACACATTTTTTGCTCTATCAATTTATTTTACCCATCACCAAGCATCAATGTTTGGATTTCTGTGTAAAGAAGTGAGCAGGTCACCAAACAATGTCATATGTAATTAGGTAGCTACTTAACATTTTTTTTTTTTTTTTTTTTTTTTCTTATTCGTATATATGATTTACATAACAATCTGCATCTCAGTACTCTCCCTCTGTAATTAAATGTGCTTTCTATGTTCTACTTCAACTGTAGAGCTGTTTTGGTAGAACTAAGCTACAGGGTAAAAACAAAAAACAAATAGACAAAAAAACCACCATCACCAACAAAAAAAAAACAAAACAGGGAACCAAAATATGGAAAATTTTTCTTCCATCCAAGAAGCACTCCACCATGCTTGAATGGCAGTTCAATGGGAGAAACTGAATGTACAGTATTGCAAAATGTACTCTACTGCTTAACTACCACAATAAAACATATTTATGTATCATGAAGTTTTGTGCATTAATACAGAGACACAGTTTAAAGAACAGAATGACTTTAGCAGCCATCTTTGTGTCTGCTGCTGCTAGTAATTTGAGTTTGATTTGTTTAAAAAACATTGACTTAGTGGAGTGCAAAAACTCTTCAGGAGGGTTGTTTTTTTTTTAATGTTACAATGATAGCTATACTGTATTACTACTGTATTACTAATTTACTTAACAATTCTGCCTTCAAAAAATACTGTAGAGGCCATTGGAAATTAGATGTCTATCTGAATGTAAACATGCTCTAGCAATGCAGATGTGAGAAACTGCAGAAAAAGTAAAAATTAAATATATTTCCTTTCGTATGCTAAAAAAACATATAATAAAAAGTGAAAATGTAAAAGAACATGGTACTTAGAAAATTATTTGAGTTCTAATAATGACTGTGGGTGTTTGTACACCAGATATGAGGCTGTTAGGCATGATTCCATATGCTGTCCTCTCTTCAAGAAAGCACTTCTGAGACCTTGAGCCAAGTAGTGTGGGAACCACTGCACATAACAGCTGAGCAGAGAAAATGCATCTGCCTTTGGCTACAAAGCAGTGATGGTAAGGCAGTGAGTCCAGTTCTCTTTTTACTGTCTTTTTATCTCAGTTGATATCTTTCAGAATAGTGCTGCCTTTTTTGCTTCCATATACATAACTGGGTACTATCTTTCAGAATTGAATCTCATAAAAATATAACATTCCTCAACTGCAAATGAAGCTTCCAGGATAGTAATTCACTATTCCTTTGTGTCCTTTTGTACTGCCAGCAGGAGTGGAACAGGCTGCTAATCACAAGCTACATTCCTGTTTAAATAGTAAAACATAATCAATGGAAGGTGATAGTCTCTTTTCCCCTCGTTCGTCCTTCACAGCGTTCGGCCAGAATAAACAGGTCATTATCTTTAGGCTTCCCTCCCTCCAGAAGGAAGGCAGTGGAGGCCCTGCTAAGCAACTTGGCACAGAAGGAACGCAGAAGCGAGTTAGCAAAAGTGACAGCTGGGCTCTCCCCATCTTGCTTTCCCCCTCAGTCAGGAACGCCAACTTCTAAAGGATGAAAGGTGTGCCCAAAGCCTTTGTATTCAGTTCTCAAGTTCCCTCAGTGCCACATGCACAGGATTACGGTACACCTCCAGAGACAGCGACTCCATCACTTCCCTGTGCCTCACCACCCCTGAGAAGAAAGCTTCCTAATACCCAGCCTCAGGGTAGGAAGCCCAGCTTCTCAGCTTCAGGGGCCTCGTTGCTGCTCCAAGCACCGCAGCTCAGGTAGGGGTCCGCGGCACCCCAGACCCGCACAGCCGAGACGCGGCGCCCCGACGCCACTCCGTCAGCCCTTGGGCACGCGAGGCCCCGCGACGAGCGCGGTCCTCGCGCCTTGGCGGCGGAGGGGCGGGAGCTGGCGGCGTCCCTTGCGTAGAGCCGCCGGTCACGTGGGTTCGGGAGCGAGGCTGGCGGCTGAGGGGCGCAGGCGGCAGTATGGCGGCGGCGCTGGGTGGCTTGGGCCTCTTGCACGGCCGGTTCAGGCTAGCCGCCGCGGCCGCTGCCACCTCCTCCACCCTCGGCCCCCGGACTCCGGTGCGAGGAGGTGCCGCCGCTTTCCCCTCAGCCGGGAGGAGCTATGGATCGGAGGCGAAGGAGGAGGAGGAGCTGCGAGTGCGGTACCTGGATGAAGAGCACAAAGGTAACGGGGAAAGCGCCGGCCGCTCCTCTGCGCGGCCCTACCGGCCCGGCCCGCGGCGCTCGGGCCTGTGAGCTGGGGTTACCCTGCGCGCTACCGGGGGCAGGTGGGAGGCGCCACGCGGCGTGCTGCCGGCGGCGGGCGGCGGATCCAGATCAGCCTCTTCATGCTGGTGCTGCGGGGCCGCAATTACTTGCAGGAATGGGTCAGCAGCCCTGCTGACTTTAATCAAAATACTCTCCTGGATGTGTGTCTCCTCTGCTAGCCGCTTTGCTGGCAGAAAATGAAGTTTAGGGGTCGTCTCCTACAATTAGCATCCCGCACCTGCTGTGTGCTTGTTTGTATGGGCAGACAGGGACAGAGAAGTTCCATCTGCTTTTTCTTGTATGCAGCACTATTCTGTGATGTGTGTGTTCTTTAGGTGGATAGTAGGTCTTGGAACAATCGTGTTGAGATGTGAGATTCAGTTTATAACTTTGAAAACATCAACTCAGTTACATTAAACTTGGCACAGTTTTGGGCATGCACCTTTGAGTAGAGCATTCATATGTATGTATATATTTGTACATGTAAACTTCCAATTTTATCTTAGGGTTAGAAGATATGTTTTTTAAGAGTCAGTAAGATTAATGATGTAATCTGATCCTGAAATCCACTTCTTATTTTTCTATTCCCTAGAGTTCCTTGAATACAATACTTATTTACTCCTATTTTCTCAACCAACTGAGGAACGGAGAATTGATTCCAAACGAATGTCTTAACTTTAAACTTATTTTAAATTGAAGTGGAGGCAAGACAGGAGCAAAGAAGGCTTGGTAAAACGTTGGAAAGTATTTTTGCTTGTATGTTCTGTGCATTATTCTTTCTGTGATGCTAGTGCACACCATCTTCCTCTTCCCATGCAACAAGTTAATCTATATGAGTTTACAGCATGTAGTACCTGTGCTCCATTAGGATGCTAGTGCCATTTAAGCCCCAGTGTTTTTTATCACTAGTCTCTTAACATACTATTTCCTTCTCCAGAGTTTCTTCCGGGTCTTTCCAAGTGGGACCCCAGCACCATTGCCCCTTCCATATTCTTCCACTTCATACTGCATACGGGGGCAGACTCTTGTCTCTCTAACAACTTTCAAGACGTAGACATGTTTATTTGTGCTGTTTTTCTGTTCTTGTATATACCTGCTCTTTTTGAGTTGCTTAGAGGAAGATGTGTTGTCCCTAGTACTGCTTGGGGAAGCAGGAAAACTGACCTTGAGCTGCCTCACACAGAGGTGCAAATCCTGTAGCACCAGATGAATCTTTCAGGCAGAGTAACAAACTGCTCTGCTCCATCCATAACACTTTCAGGTGACTCATACACCACACTTTTTGGGAAGCTGTTAAACATATACTGAAATGAGACTATATTTGTGAAGGCAAATTATTGAATATTTATCTGAGATAAAAGAATACAAAAGATTTAATTTGAATGTGTTTGTAGAATGCTTATGTATTCTGAACAACATGTAAATCACATTACCTTTAGTATCAGTTTCCTATGAGTACAGATAAATAAGGGTGCATTATTATTTTTTAATTAGATGCATGTCTTTTATTTGTAATTGTATTTGATTATCGCTTCAAGGTCTGAAATTTATTAAAGCTATTGACATTTTAGAGCTTCTAGCCAAGTTGCGTTAGCAAACCCATTACAAATTTGGGTGAATTTAGGGCTATTAGTTCGATTAGTATATGTAAGGCAACGTTTTGTCATCATCAGTTAGAATGTTAATGTACATAGAGTGTGCAGATCAATTATGGTCTCATTTGAAATAGTTCTTTCAGAGCTTGAAAGATTGGTAGTTAGCTGACAAAAAAGAAAACTTTACTTTCTCTTCTTCTTAAGTAAAAATACTTGAGCAGCTGAGATATACTAATTTAATGGAGTGCAGGAAGATATGCAGAAGTACATAGAGATGAAATAGTAAAGGTGTACTTAGGATTTTGAAAATTGTTTAGTTACTTTTTAAAAATAATGATCAATACATGTCTGTGTGATTTTATGATACACGTAAGTACTTAATGAAACTACAATCAATGGAAACAATTAGAATTGTTCATGGTGCACTCAGTGTGGGTTCTTGTTTCACTTAAGAAAATGCAGTAAATGGAGACAAGCGAAAAACCAACTTCTCTATTCTTTCTTCTTTCTCTCATTTCAGATTTTTTTTTTAAAGTTATTTAAAAGTATGTTTGGATTGATGGTGTGTTTGCATATTACAAATAGATTATTTCTGTAAGTACTTTTTGTGTAGATCGAATTAATCTTTATAGGACAAATTACTAGTATGAATGCAGTCAGGACTTACAAGTAAATGAGTTACTACTAAATATTGAGTATGAATGTTGTTTTGAAAACTACAAAGTACATAATAGAGCAGATAAAATCATTAAAGCACAGTTTCCTTTGTGCTGAGATAAACTGCATGTAATACAAGATGTAATTATTTTACTTAAATTGATTCACCCTGTTTTATTTAATGTAGAAGGAAATATGATCTCTCTCAGCAGTTTTAAATAAAATGATAGCATCATATGAATTTTGCTGTCTCTCTTGAAATACAAGAACCTTTTAATATTAACTATTTACTCATTAAAATCCCATATTTAATTACGTTGTGAAATGAGGACACACCTGGGAATTTACAGGTATTTTGAAGCTATCATGCATATATGTTGCTCTGAAAGTAATTCCCCTTATTTCCCTGGAAACTAGAACAGATCTAAAAAGCACAAAGCACTGTATGATAGAGGAAATTCTTGGCTACAGAGCACTGTTTTTCAACATAGTCAATACAATTAGGTGTGCATTGTCTCCATTGATGAATGGGAGCCTGCATGCCATGTTCTAAGCGCCTTCTTTACATTTGCCTTTAAAAGCCAGACCAGTTAATTCTTGGAGTACTCTACCCCCTGACTTGGAAGTCTGAGATGGGGAGAAGAATAAAGCCCCATAGTCAGAGACCTACAATTCCAGCTGGACTGCCACACGTCCATGGGCCCAGATGTGATCCACATGAGGGAGTTGGCGGACGTGATTACCAGGATGCTTTCCATTATCTGTTAGCAGTCTTGGTCAACTTGAGAGGTCACACAGAGCTGGAGACTTGCTGATGTTACTCCCATCTACAAGAAGGGTTTTGAGGAGGATGCGGGGAACTGCAGGCATGTCAGCCTGACCTTGGTGTTAGAAAACATTATGGAGCAAATCATCTTGAGTGAGATCACACAGTATGTGCATGACAGCCAGGGATCAGGCCCAGCCAGCATGGGTTCATGAGAGGCAGGTCTTGCTTGACCAACCTCATCTCCTTGTATGATCTAATGACCCTCCTGGTGGATGAGGGAAAGGCTGTTGACATAGTCTATCTAGACTTCTATCATGTTTCAGCTCAGTTTGACCTAGTTCTATGATGGGATGAAGGGACCCACAGACCCACGCCCCAGGAAGGGGGGGAAAGAGAAAAAGGTAGGGAGGTCGGCCTAGATGGGGAAAAGAGTAGCAATGAGCTAATAAGAAAGCTTAATTTACTAAATACAATAGCGGAATGTGAGATGATTCAATATAATACAATATAATTGGAATTGAAGCTAATAAATCAAATAAAATGAGAGAAAGAGAGTTTTGAAAGCAAAGTCCTTACTGTAATGCTGTAGCAAAATGACCAGGGAGCAGAGAGCAAAGAGAGCAAGAGGCAGTCTTGCGACTCCCAGTCATTTTTGTCTTTCCCCCCAAATGGAAAACAGAGGAATATAGTCTTCTGGGATTGTAGTTCTCTTCTGAGCCAAGATATGATCCACAGAACTCTTTAATACCCAGTACACTATATGATGTTACGATGTGGAAAACCGATCAAAAATCATAAAACCATGACAGACTTCAGCAAAGCCTTTGACACTGTCTTCCACAGTATTCTCCTAGAGAAGCTGACAGCCCTGGCTTGTAGAAGTACACTCTTCACTGGGTAAAGAACTGCCTGGGCGCCAGGCCCAGAGTGTGGTGGAAAATGGAATTAAATCCAGCTGGCAACTGGTCATGAGCAGTGTTCCTGAGGAGTCAGTACTGGGGCTTATTCTGTTTAATATCTTTATTGATGACTTGGACAGAGGGATTTAGTGCACCCTCAGCAAGTTTGTAGGTGACACCAAGCTGGGAGAAAGTGTCAATCTGCCTGGGAGTAAGAAGGTTCTTCAGATGGATCTGGGCTGAGGCCAAAGCAGTGAAGTTCAACAAGACCAAGCGCCAGGTCTGCACTTTGGTCACAACAATCCCAGGCAATGCTACAGGCCTGGGGAGGAGTTGCTTGAAGACTGTACAGATGAAATGGATCTGGGGATATTGGTGGCTGCTCAGCTGAACATGAGCCAGCAGTATTCCCAGGTGGCCAAGAAGGCTAGTGGCATTCTGGCGTGTATAAGAAGTGCTGTTAGTTGGAACAGGGAAGTGTAGCTCTGTACTCAGCACTGGTAAGTCTGCAACTCAAATACTGTTTTAAGTTTTGGTCCCTTCACTATCAGAAAGACTTGGAGGTCCTAGAGAAGAGCAGTGGAGCTGCTGAGAGACCTAGAACACATAACGTAACACCTGTTTCATAGTATGTTTGGATCTGAGAGACAGGATGTCTCAGGAATGGAGGCAAGCAAACTGCGCACTCAGAGCAGCACAGAGGGTTATGAATTTTATTTCACACACACACACACACACACACACACACGCAGGCATCTATTTTAGATTATGTCTCCGTGGCAAGCACAAACTCCATAAGCTGGTGAGTGTTACTTACCTACCTTTGAGAGACAAGTGAATTGCTGAGTAGGAGAAAGAGAAGGAACATGCCTGTAGAAGATTCGAAAGGAGGTATCAGAAGGATGTCCTCTGCTTCAAGGTATACTTTTCCTCTCTCTTGGATCCACCACAGCCTCTCTCCTGCTTTTGTTCTCTCCAAGGTCTACAGCGTTTTCTC